GAGCTATCAAGCTTCACCAACCCAAGGACTGCTCAGATAGCAAAAGATTTGTACACACTCCCACCATGTCATACTTTGTAATATGAAATTACAACTCTGGTTCCCCAATAACTCTGGATGATTTAATACAACTCTCTGGGTAAGCACATGAACTACTCTTAAACCATGGACGTTACACTATTGTATTGTGTAGTATAATCATCAGATTTCTAGAAATACAAACTCTATTCTGAAAATCGCTTCAAGTCTTTTCTACTGGAATTTTCGACCGTGAAAGGTGTTTAAATATTCACCACACTCAGTTTACCCACGGTTACTATTAACCGTGGTTTACCCACGGAAATTGCGAATAAATGTATCGCCCTCTATGGTAGTCTTCTTATTTGTCTTTGTTTAATAATCACTAACAGACTAAGTATCGCTGTAGTTATAAAAGCTCAGTTTACAAATTAAAGTTGGTTTTATTGTTCTTTTCAGATTATAAGCACTCTAGAACACTGATCTGTTCTATTGTCTTGAGCTAACATTATTACGTTGAAAGTGGATTTCCTTTTATTTGGATTCATGTTACGGACTTTTTTAACCATATTCACTGCAGCAGTCTGCTCATATGTTTACATTGTCATCTATGGAAACCCCTTTAGCGGCTTCATTTTTGACAAAACTCTAGGTGTTACAAATTATGTTTAAAATATTGCGTGAATATCTCCCAATCGGAGACTTTTTTTTCTGTTTCCCCCGCATATAAAAACAGACTAGGAAGTAAATTCGAACATTGGGCAACCATCTCTCAGTATGGACGTAGAGTGCGCTGCTTGTATACATCGAGTGATTAACTGTGTTTTTCTCCTTCTCTGGTGAATTCTCTCGATTTGAATATAGTCATAATTTCGGTGACAGTTTATTGATGTGAAGTGATCGATTGATGGAACAATATGACCACCTGTCTGACACAATTACCAAAACTACAGTAACAAACTTAATTTTATGTTAACTGTCAATCATATCGATCCGATGGGAAAGATATTTAATGGATTAAAATTCCCACGTGATTAAAAAAATGTGAGAACATGCTTGGCTTCACTTTTTGGCGCGCCAAGGTGAATTCTGTGAGTGACACCACTTTATGCTTCATTACACGCTTTATACAAAACCAGCATCCGGGGAATCATTTATGTTGTTTATACCTTGTTGTTACTATGCAACAAATAGCTGTTCAAGATATTACCGGTTTTCGAATGCTTGCTAAATAGAGAGTAACACTTCACGTATGTACGAAAGGCAAATTGATATAAAGGACATATTATGGGATAATTACGCTTTTGCTTCGGGACATTTCCCCACTCTGGTTTAAATTTCCATACACGGGATATTGCACAAAAGTTCACCCCAAACATAAACATACAGTTTTAGTGGTCCAAAAACTCATAGTCAGCCGAGCCGATATTTTGCTGAGCAAAAATTCCATTCAATCAATAAAAAGAAACAAAAAAGGGGTGGTACCCAAACTTGTTTCCATGGAAACAATGATTTTGTGATAAAATGTCGGCCAATTTAAATCGTTCGAAAAACATACAATTCAAGTTGACAGTTAAAAATCATGTTCGAGTACCCCAATATTATCTGTCTTTCAAATAAATACAGTACTCACATGGAACAATTCTCAGCGTCGGAATTGAATTGACTGTTTCCAACTTAGTTACCGGTAGCAACTCTTAATAAATCGAACATTGGATTACATTCAATGGGTGTCAGCTACTTATCACATCCCACAATACACCTGGACATGTGTCATGTCATTAATGTAGAGAATGCGATTCCGTGGATTTTTTTAGTGAAAAAGGGTTTAAAATATATATCCTACACAAACGAAGATTTTACATGTGCCCGGGACTATGTGTATCCCAACCTCCGAAGTTGTGATAATTTTTGTCGGATTTGTTATTTTTGCTTGTTCAATAAAATGAATACATGCAGTAATCTCGGGTGTTCGATATTTAGTATAGCCAAAGTTCCCGCATGCAACCACAGTTCTTACGTATACTAGTAGTAGATATAAGGTCGGTTTATGTCACGTC